CCCGTTGGTGAGAGTGCAGAGGGGCGGGCACAGGAATCAGATTGTTTGAAAAGTGAATGGGACAAAGAATGTGAGAGGCTAGAGTATAAAAGGAGTGGGACTGGGGATGGTATCGGTTCAATGGTTTGAATCAGGCCAGGCTGTGTGTAGGGTATTGAACCATTACCATTTGTCCCTACACTACGCCAGGTTATTGATAGATTATTAAACTGCGGAAGCGGACTGGACAAGAGTGCTGATAATAAGAATTAGGCAGAAATGCTGCCCGTCGGAAGCGGCTGTTGACAAAATTATCTGTGTTTAATTCTTGTTATTGGGTTGAACAGTTTATAATGGTGACTTGATTAGAAGCCAAAATTTGCACAGGTCAATCTTTGACATTTCAATGAGCTGCATAAGTTAGTTGGGATTTATGAATGGTACTTCTTCTATTATGTTCCAAATGAAACAATTTATGAATGTTGTAGCTTTAATTCATTATCTATGAATTTGCCATTTGAAGTAACCTGTACTAAGTTTTTTGAGGGTTGAATGTTTTATATTATAATGATAAATTACATCAAAAGTTATTGGATGATTCACAGATGAGAATTTGAACTGGAAGTGAAAATAAGGCTTTGTTTATCTACAATGATTGATCAGTTATCTGCCTTTTGGCATATATCTATACCTATACAAGTACAGCGGCGCAGCCGCCCTGATTTCTAGTGATTCATTATTTTTTGGAATTTTAAATTCATTCCCTACTTTTTTAGAGGTTTAAAGTGATATGGTATCATTCATTTTACCCAAAGATAAGATCTTCAATTTTAATTTGAGCTTACCCATTTTCCTTGCATAATTTGTACCGTGTACCAATTTTATTTTTATGCAAAATGGATATAACCATCAAATTTTAAACCTTTGAAAATGTAGGAAATGCATTTGAAATTCCAAAAAATAATGAATCATAAGCCTGTGAGAATTAATTTCTCAACCAAATTACTCAAGAAAACCATCAAGAATATTCTCTTTTGATCCTCTTCACCGCCACCGTTTTTCCCGATAGACCTCTCCTTTATTTTTAATCTATTGCTGGAACTCAAATCGCGGCTCCAAAAAGCACCTGTTGATGTTGGTTATTTTTTTTCATTACTTTTCTGGGTACCTTCCTCTGATCTCCTGCTTTTTGCCCTCTTCTCATTTTAAAATACACACTACACCCATTTATAACCACACTCTTTTGTAAATCCAAATTTGGCCTCATTAGACTATTATAGCATTTTGTGTCCTTTTTCCATGCAGAAATTTAAGCTCAGATAACCACTGGGAACTTTCCACTGTGATTGCCTCAATAGAATGAGTGGGAGCAAAAATTTCAAGTCATACAAATCATTTTTATGCAAAATAAATATTAACATTAAATTCTACACCTTCCAAAGTGTAGGAAACAAATTTACAATGTCAAAAAATAATGAAAAACAAGCCGTTGTTAACAGTTAATGTAAAAATGAGTGAGCAGAAAAAAATAAGTCATTTTTATGGTAAATGGACTTTACACCTGTGTGGATCCAATTCTCCCGCTTCAAGCCAAAGATAATGGTGTCATTATCTTTGGCTTAAAGCCGAAGGCAAGGCAGAGCTGGGTGAGCTGCTCTGAGCTGCCTCACCCAGCATACTAGATTTCTAAAATCAAACCCAGAGACAAAGTCTCTGTATGTAGTCCAATGGTTTGCACTGGCCCCAGAAACTGCCCATCCACCAGGTTGTGGGTTCAAATCCCACTGGCCCCATCCCCTAATGGGGGTTAGGGGGCAGGTTTTTGGGGGCAGGTTTTTTGGGGGTTAGGGTTAGGGGTTAGGGGTTAGGGGTTAGGGGTTAGGGGTTAGGGGTTAGGGGTTAGGGGATAGGGGATAGGGTTAGGGGATAAGGGGGTTAGGGCTGTTTTTTTTTTAGAAAAAATGGGCAGAAACTTTTTTTTTGCAGTTTTGTACCCAGCTCACCCAGCTCACCCAGCTCACACCCAGCTCACCCAGCTCTGCCTTGCCTTTGGCTTTAAGCGGAAGATAATGTC